TGATGTGTGTTAAGTCTCCTTAAAGTCGGTCCAGATTTTGATATAGTTCCCGTATATAGTTTCGTCCGATTATAATTAAATGGTGCACCAAAGACCCAAAGTTTGGCCAATTGACACAACGAACTGAATATAACCTAGCGTGTGGAAAGTATTGAAATCGGTTCAGATTTGGATAGAGCTCTTATATACATTTTCTCCCGATTATATGTACATGATGCACCAAGAACCCAAAACATACTGAAATTAGTATAAGTTAACCTGTGGCAAGTTTCGATGAAATTGGTTTAGATTTCGATATAGCTTTTATATATATTTTCGTCTGATTTTTAGTAAATCGTGCACCAAATTACTCATGTTTTTGCAATCACACACCTGGATTGATATTTACTTTAAATTGATTTACATAATTTTGTCCCATTGTAAAAAGCAACTCTATATCTGACCAAATGAGAAATGTAGTATAGGATGCAGAATGACATGTTTATGGATCCATTTTTATGTTAAGGGAACCCCCCCCCCCCCCATTCACGATTTTAATTTTTCAAGATTTTCAATGGGCTGGTAAATGAATACAAATGTTTGTTAAGGTTTGTAACTTTGCACATATATAATTGAAGATATAAAAGAGAAGAAAAATAATTTACAAAAAATTTTTGTTATTGTTTTGTTGTTGTTTTTTGTAATTAAAGAAAAGTCCTTATTTTTGATGGCGGGCATGATAACTCCTCACTGGAACACCGGAATCCGAAAATTCCAACGGTGTTAGAAAGAGTACATGTCTGGCTCTCGTATGAACTAGGATTATTGACTTCGCTCTAACATTAACAAAATGGTGGACCTTTGAAAAAATATTTTTGGAAAATCGCCGATTTTTTACCAAAAACGAAGTTAAAAAATAAGGAAGATCTTCACCGATTAGCTTTATCCTAGTTCATACGAGAGCTATACACTCCCAGAGAAACGTTGCAAAATTTGGAATCGATTGGGTTATTAGTTTTTGAGTTATCGTGCCCGCCATTCGCAAAAAAATGTTTAGAGAAAAACGCGTTTAAAGTTTGAGAAGCACTTCAGCCGCCACTTTCGGATTTAATGTTAATTAAGGCGGTTATTCAGTTCACTGCATATTACATACATTTATAAAATATTGACCATTTGTGAGGGAGGCACCGGAAATAGTGTTCCACTGTGTCCCATCTTCAAACTTGATCTAGGCTTGGTAAAGATAATAGGCTATTCAAAGTTTGACTGGAATACGATATTCCATTCGCCTGATATTGCTTTTATAAATATTCAAAAAGGTTTACAATTTGTGGGGGAGGTACCAGAAGGAGTAGACAAATATGTCCTATCTTCGGACTTGATCTAGATTTGGTGAAGATAATAGGTTGTGCAATGTTTGGTTCGAATCGGACATTCCATTCGCCTGATATTGGATTTATAAATATTGAAAATTTTAATCATTTGTGTGGGAGGTACCTGAAGGAGTGGTCCCATCTTCGGAATAGATCTAGTCCACGTAAAGATAGCAGACTGTGCAAATTAGGTTCAAATCATTCCATTCGCCTGATATTGGATTAAAAATATTGAAAATTTGACCATTTATGGGGGAGGTACCAAAATGAGTGGACCAATGGTCCAACTTTAGAATTGATCTAGACTTGATTCAAATCGGATAGTCCCTGATATTATACAATTAATTGTTAGCATAATTATGACAATTTTGTGGGGAGGTGCTAGAATGAATGGTCCTATAAAACCTCTCTTCCAGCTCAAACTAAGTTTGGAAGAAATATTTAGATGTGCAAAGTTGGGATGAAATCGGTTACACCTTTCTAGAGTTATCGTGCGCACCAGCCTGCCAGAAGGACAAACGGGTATGCGTAAATCGACCTCAAAGTACTTGAAACGGATTTTGTTCAAAGAAACATGGGGGTCAAAAACCAATATTTCTATATTGCCGTAACAAGTGCCTGAGGGTACAAAATTAGGTGTAATCGCTCAGGACCTTTACATTTTTTGATAAAGATTCGCAACTAATGAGAACCGTTAAAGAACGCATCAATAATCCTCAGAATACCAAATAATGGGGATATGGTTTTATGGGGACACCTTAAGTAAAAAAAAAAAAAAATTGAAAGTTAGAGGATCCTGGGGCAGCTTCGACACTTTTTGTTTAGAGCTCTATATCTCAGTACTTATTCGACATATATAAACACTTTGTGGCTGCTTATTGTTCTGTGATACTTAGTTATAAAAACTAGTTTGAAATCAACATTCAAAATTTTCTTAAATGATGTGAACGAGTTCAAAATGTTGAAAATGTTTATACATGTCTTCAACTTTAAATCCAAAGGACTCCGTCATTCAAAAAAAGATTTTGTCGTATAGGGCGTCAACTTAGTTTTAGTAAATCTATCTGAAAAAGTACCTAACCTAATGGACCGATTTTGGTCTATCTTCGAACATAATTTAGTTTACTATATACAAATCATAAAATCAGTTTTACGTAATTTCAATTTATTCTTCTCTTTACATCACCTTCAAGTTTCCCTTCAAACAACAACTACAGAGTCCTTTTTTAACATAAAAGTACTTCATTTAAATTATTATTTCTATTATTTTCATTTGCATTATTTTCTCAAGAAAGTTGTTACAACAAAATTATGAAGATTTATTTGTTTAACAACGAAGGTAAGAAGCGTTTTCAATTGTTTTCTACTTAAGCGATAACGAAATGACCAAAAGTTAAATTGGAATTTTCGAATTTTTAACAGAATGGAAGGGACAACGAAGGGGAAGGAATAAAAAAACAGCAAGAAAAAAAAAACAAAACATTTATAAATGAATTACGACGACGAGTAGAGTAGAAAGAAAACAACAAAAACACTCAACAAAGTTGAATACTTCAGTGCAACAACGAACGAATATTTTGTGGGGAAAGACAATGCCACTTTCAATGATTTTAACCTTTAAATTGACCAAGAAAATTAAAACCAACAACAATAACAACAAATGGGGAGATATTCATTTCAAAAAGTCCTTTAAAGTAAAAAATACGAAAACATAGAAAATGAGAAAGGAGGAAAGTGAAAAAGTAAAAAAAAACTGAAACTTAGGCATTGAAGCAAAAAAACTCATTAATCAGATAAAGCAAATGTAAATTTAATTAAAACTAAGCAAGACTGCGAGAGAGAGTCAGACAACCAAAATTACAGCTTAACCCAAAAATCACTATTAAAAACCAGTAAGGAAAGTAGTAAAGTCGGACTGGGCCGACTATACGATACCCTTCACCATTTTGGGTATATTGGAAGAAATGAACATACTCATATCTTTCCGAAAGCTATCATAAATTTATTTTCATTCGGGCAGATTAGGAGTCGTCTGTGTACCATGGGTCAAATTTATGGCAAAATTGATACACGTTATCCTGTACGCCACACTGTTGAAAATTTAATTTCAATCAGACACCCGTTCGAAATGTATATGGAATCTATGGCCGCATCTGCACCAATTTCAACAAAGCCCAATAACTCAATTTGATACGTTGTGCAAAATTTCGTGTTAATCGGACAAACATTAGTAGTTTGGTGCACTATTTATGTAAAAACGGACGAAAATATATATGGGAGATATATCTAAATCCGAACGGATCTTCACTAAACTTAGCACACATCATTCTAGATTTAATTCAGTACGCTGTGTCAAATTTGGTGCAAATCGAAAAATATATTCGGACTTTGGTGCACCATTTACATAAAATCGGACGAAAATATAAATGGGAGCTATATCTAAATCTGAACCGATTTGAACTAAATTGAAGACACATCATTATAGACCTAATTCAGTACGCTATGCCAAATTTCGTGTAAATCGAAGGATATAAAGGGACTTTGATGCACTATTTACCTAAAATCGGATGAAAATATAAATGGGAGCTATATATAAATCTGAACCGATTTTCACGAAATTGAAGACAAATCTTTATAGACCTAATTCATTACGCTATGCTATATTTCGTGCAAATCGAAGGATATAAAGGGACTTTGATGCACTATTTACCTAAAATCGGATGGAAATATATATGAGAGCTATACATAAATCTGAACCGATTTTCACGAAACTTAGAACACATCATTATAGAACCAATACATTACGATGTGTCAAATTTCGTGCAAATCAAAAGATAAATAGAGACTCTGGTGCACTGTTTACCTAAAATCGGACGAAAATATATATGGGAGCTATATCTAAACATAAACCGATATTCACGAATCTTACCACACATCATTATATAATCAATTCGCTATGCCAAATTTCGTGCAAATAAATCCACGCCTATTTCTTTCAATAAACACACTTGGCCCTTGAAAAATATTCTTCAATAAATCCACGCCTCAGTTGGCCCATGAAAAATATTCTTCAATAAATCCACGCCTCAGTTGGCCCTTGAAAAATATTCTTCAATAAATCCACGCCTCAGTTGGCCCTTGAAAAATATTCTTTAATAAATCCACGAAATTGAATTGGGCCGACAAAAAAATGTGCTTATAATTTATAAACTGGTACTAAAACAGGTAAATATTTACAGCAACAGAAAAGAAACAAAATAAGGTAAATAAATTATACAGGCAGATAAAGATTTATTAATTAAAATGTGTTAGTGGGGTCAGGTCATAGACACACAATAAGGTCAAGTTTAGCTTTCCCTCAGTCGCTTTCCCCCATCACATCGGCCGAAAGCAGTAATAAAACCATTAACATTAAAAACAACAACAATAAAAAATTAGTGAAATATAGCAGGACGGACAAGAAATGAAGCCACAACGAAGCAGCAGCATCATTACGATTATCATTATTTGGAAGGATAACATTTGAGGTAAGACACATAGAAAGAAAAAAAACGCCAGTAAGCAGCATCCACGTTATTTTCCTGGTGGTAACACCGAATAATAAAAGTGAAAGCAAAACGAGATTGTTATTAAAATGTTATCACTTACCTGTGACTTTGAACGCATAGTCGGCTGGTATTTTCTTCGGATTTTTCTGGGACAGCAAACGCACAGGATTCGTACAAAAGCTCTGCAATTAAAGAAGAGGAAGACAATTATATGTATGTATATATGTGTGTGTAAGTTAAGGAGAATTAGAAATCATTTCTCATAATTTATTTCTTCTTGTGGCAGTTAACAGTAACTGATGTGTTTGTTTGCCCACGATGTATGTTTTTTATCCACTCAAGTGGAAATCAAGTGCTTGCTGAGCAAGGATAAGGCATGGCAAAAGAAAATCAGTTTTTATTTTCTTTATGGGTTTTACTTTGGTCAAGGAGAAATATAATTTAGTTTATGCTCAAGGACAAATATGTTAATATATCATTTCCTGGTGTCCACAAGCATGAACGGACGAACAATATATTATGAAAACACGTGCCTTTCGTTTTTTTTTTTTTGCTGGCTGGTCAGCATAATTACCAGAGTGGAAGGCGAAGGTTAGTCTTGTTGTCATGATTTATGTAGCCTGGTAATAATTCATTGTTAAATAAACTTTTCTAAGAAATTAAAAGTTGAATGTGTGTAATTTATTAAACGTTCTTGAATCTAACTTGGAGGAACCGTATACAAAATATCGCCTCAGTTTAAAACTTATGATAATTTGAACATAAATTCTATTTTAATGCGATACTAATTTTGATTTGAACAACTACGAACCGACTATTGATGATTTAGGTACAGCACCAATGAATGGCCTTACATTTTGACCCATTGCTAGTAAGGTAAATTTTTTTCACGTATACAGGCAATACGTTATATATATATATACCGATCGTCATATCTCGACTATGGATGCTTTGCAGGTTCTGTTAGGGGCAGCACCCCTTGATTTGGAGATGATGCGTAGAGCTGTCATCTTTAAGTTGATTGGATTTCCGCATCTGAACTTGCCGGGGATATGAGGAGGAACAAGGAACTCGTAAATGAGCGACTTGTGTCTAGGTGGCAGACAAGATGGAATGAGAGAAGTAATGGTCGGGTGACGTGACCTTCGTACAGGATCGACCAGACTTTGGCTTTGGTCTTAGTCTGGGGTATTTACTGACGGGGCACGGTTCGTTGAATGCGTTTTTGCATAAGCGAACTTTGTCTGACTCTCCGGATTGTGGTTGTGGTGGGGGACCTGAGGATGTCATGCACGTACTGACTCAGTGCATGTTTTATGATGACGTTAGAGACTTGGCCAGAATGGGTATTCGCAGTACCCAGGATGGTTGGGATCTAACAGCTTCGGTCATGGGGGACGAGACATATGCGGCACTTGGCGTGTTTGCGAGGGAGGTGTTTACTAGGAGAAGGACTAGACTTAGTTGAGGTGATCCTCTGAGCTAGTCGTCATCTGGTGTATGGTCCTGTTTCATGAGCTGCTTAGCGTTTCCCTGTGCCGGCTCATCGTTTGCTGGCCGCGGGGGTTGGCAGTTGAGCGGTATTGGTGTGTGGCTCCATTCTGTGGAAGTCATGCACCAACTCCGCTAAGCTGCCGTGGTGAGTGGTTGCTTGCTCGTGGTGTTGGTGGTTACTGGTGCCTACTGCATTGTCATGCCTATGGTAGTGTAGTGGCGCTTGGGGTGAGGTGTGTGGTTGCGCTGGAGGTGGTGTTGGTTTGGCTTGTCGCTCTGCGTGTGTGTGTGTGTATGGGTAGGTGCTGGTCGCTGTGTCTGTTGGTGGTGCCGAACCGTCCGTATGGATGTGTTTGGTTATGACCATTGGTTGATGGTTTTCGGGTCCGACGGGGTGGACATTCGTGAAGGTGTCTAGTCACTGTCCTGAGTGTGTGATCCGACGGGCCGGATACCCGAGTGGTTATGGTCACTGTCCTGTGTGGGTGTGAGATGTGTGGTCTGATGGGAGGTCGTATTGCGGTGGTGGTTTCGGTCCCTGTTGTCTGTTGGTGGTGTCGAACCGTCTGTTTAGACGTGTTTGGCTAAGGCCCTTGGTTGCTCGTTGTTCGAGTGTTTGGTCCGACGGGCTGGACATCCGTGAGGGTGTTTAGTCACTGTCCAGTGTGTTTGATCCGACGGGCCGGATACCCGAGTGGTTGCGGTCACTGTCCTGTGTGGATGGGTTGTGTGGACTGTTGAGAGGTTGGGAGGTTTTGTTGTTTGGTGTGTGTGTGTTGTGCGGAATGCCCGTGAGGGCATTCTGGTGTTCCGGTGGTGTCTTTGGGTTTACTAGTCCCGGATCGTGGATCGAAACTAGTAGGGTCACCATTCCCGAACTTTGTAGGCTTGTGGAATGATCATTGGCTGAGGATGGAGACGGTGTGGGAATTAGCATCGAGAGGTGTTGGTTTTTTGCATCTGTTTTCATCCTCTCTTTATGGTCATTCCATTGTGGAGAGCCTGCAGTTACTAGTTCAAATGGTAGTAGCTTCGGCTACGAAAACGTGCAGAGTTTAGTCTGTGGGGGACCATTCCCGGACTAGCAGGCTTGTGGAATAATTGTTGGGAGGGGTGAGATGCATGGTGGCTACCAATATCGTGTGATGCTGGTGGCCACTTTTGCATTGTATCCCCTTTCAGCAATTGTTTCATTGTAGAGAGCCTGCATGTTTAGTCCTAATGGTAGTAGCTTTGGCTATGAAGCTGGGCAGAGGCTATAGTCTGTGAGTGACCAGTCTCAAACTGTTTGGGGTTCTACTGGTAATAGCTTTGGCTATGAACCTGACCGAAGGTTTCGGTAGCACGGGTGTCAGGGCCCCTAGGTCTGCGGATCTAGCCTGGCAGTTGGTGTTGGCCTTTCGGGGAGCATCGTGCTGGATGTGATTTATACCCAAATCGTGGGTAGAGCTATGGCTCGGTGTGGAGATGCATTACAACCGGGTGCCTGACCCATAGAAAGGCAGGAGTTTTAGATGGGCTCCGCTCCTCATCCAAGGAGGTGATCGCGTCCAAATACGTGTGATCGTTTGGTACCTGCATTTCGGTGTGGGGGCGTTGGTTGACGCTTTGTATTAAGTGGTGTTTACAGCACCGTGGGGTAAGACCGCAAGGTAGGTACCCACGTACTCTAAGCATCTCTGTCCATTATTATTTGTAAACACGATACAGGCCACATTTATGGACCAATCTTCACGAAATTGTGCATGTAGGATGGGTTCTGCCCAATGAGGACCCCTTTTGTTTTTGGTAAAGATCGGTTAATATTTAGGGAATGAAATGGATCAAATACTTTTCTGGTCGCTCCAGATGCCGTAATATTTAGCGGTTCAAATGGACCCTGACTTTTGTGTGAAAAATGACAAAATTTGTATTCTATGAGTATAAATTTACTCCGGAAGGAGATATACCGGAGAAATTAATATAATATACAAGAGGAGTGGTTGACATATAAATTTTACCAATTATATTGTCGTAGGTATTCGGATGTGGGGGTTACCCATAAATATTTACAGGTGCTTACGTACTCAGATATTATTTAGCAACCCATTACCACACTAGAGAGTGAAATTTTCCATGAGCTTCCTGTTATGGTCGATGACAACGCCTATAATTTTCGGTTATGATCATATTATAATTTTCGGATGAAGTGGACCCAAAACTTATTTTTTGTGAGAGCGAAAATATAACTCTGATTGCTTTAAAATTTTCCATGAGGTTCCAGTTATGGTCGAGGACAACGCCTATAATTTTCGGTGATGATCAGATTATAATTTTTGGATGAAGTGGACCGAAAACTTAATGTTTTGTGTTTTTTTTTCGAGTCGATCTGTAGGCTACAATTGAAAGCCCAACATCACAACATAACCCACGGTAAAGGGAATCTGGACAAGTACAGGTCTCGTCTACTGAATATTAGGAATATTTGTTGACATTTAGTCGGCCAAGAGGGTGCAAATAACGCGAAATATTGCCCAAGCTCAGAATATAGAACCACAGAAAGTTAGATTTTCGTGGAAGTTGTATAGGGTATAATTTGGTCGGCCGCGTCCGACTATACTGCTCCGCACACGGTTTTTTATTATGTTTTTACCCTTCAACACACTGAAATATTATGTATTTGTGCATATGTTTGTAACAGGCATAGAATCACGTTCAGAGTCGATTTATGCATGTCCGTTCCCCGTCCGTCTGTCTGTCAGTCTGTAGATGATAAATTGTAAACAAAGTACAGGTCACATTTATGAACCGATTTGGATGAAATTTGGCACAGCCCACTTACTTGGCACAAGGACATACCCTATTGGAATTGAAGAAAGATATACAGGGTTGCCCATATTCGGCGGACCCTTGTTTTTTTTTAATCAAAGAATAAAATAAAATCATTTAATTATCATTTAATATTAATCATTTAATTTGTTCCAAGTAGATTTGTTTACATCAATTTTTGAATATGATATCTCTCAAATGGCCGCCTCTGGCGTTGATGACGTATTGTGCCCTTTTTGTTGCATTATCCATCGTTTTTGGCAATATTTCGGCTGGAATAGCGGCTATTTCTTCACGAATGTTGTCCTTAAGCTCTTCTACGGTCCTTGGCTTGTTAACGTAAACCTTTGACTTCAAATATCCCCACAAGAAGAAGTCACGCGGCGTCAAATCGGGCGAACGCGGTGGCCATTCCAAATCACCACTTTTCGACATCAAACGGTCCGGAAACAAATTCTTCAGAAAATCGATTGTTATGCGACTTGTTTGCGGTGGAGTGCCGTCTTGTTGAAACCAGAACTGCTTCATACGCTTTCGACGAATAATTGGCATCACAAAATTGGTCATCATGTCGCGATAACGCTCCTGATTGATGGTAACAGCATGGCCATTTTCATTTTGGAAGAAAAACGGCCCAATGACCGTTTTCGCACTAACGCCGCACCAAACTGTGACTTTTTCGTCATGAAGAGGTACTTCTTGAATCTCCTGAGGATTTTCAGTAGCGTTAAAACGGCAAATTTTGCTTATTTACGGTCCCATTCAATGTGAAATGGGCTTCATCGGACATGATAATTTTGTTCCAAAATTGCTCGTCATCTTCGGCCATTTCGATGACTCTTTGGGCCCATTCCAATCGACGAGGCTTGTCCGCAGGCAACAATCTTTGCGTAAATTGAATTTTGTACGGGAACAAATGCAAATCAATGCGAATAATCCGTTGTAAAGTGGACCGAGCCATGGCCAATTGATGAGAACCGCGTTTTTGGGATGTTCTTGGGGATCTCTCAACACTGGCTCGTACGGCAGCGATATTCTCGGGCGATCGCCTTGGTCGACTTTTATATGGCCTCTTCGGATTAGAAAGAGCCTTACCAGTCGAAAATTTTCCGTATAAACGCTTAATGGTGTTCTTAGAAGGCGCAGGTCGAGTTTTCACAATTGACTTCTTCTGCTGAATGTAAATTTCAACTATTTCAGAGCGCTCGCGTGGCATGTATTGGTTCATGCTGAAAAACTGCTTGGACTGAAACTTCAAGCGCGGTATGTCATTAAGCGATTTGACATCCCTGTCAAAAGTTATGGCGTTGCCAGATGGGTTCGTCGAATATGGGCAACCCTGTAGCTCTCGTATATAGTTTCATCCGATTTAAGGTTTATGGGGCACAAAAGTCCCTATATAACTTTTAATTAGCTTGAAATTTGGCCTAGAGTTCTGAATTAGGTTCAGAATGATGTCTGCCAAGTTTCGTGAAAATTGGTTAAAATTTTGATATAGCTCCTATATATAGTTTTGTCCGATTTTATGTGAATGGTGTATCAAAGTCCCTATATATCTTTCGATTACCAATCCAGTCCCTTCTGTAAAGCGTCTAAATATTGAATAAAAAATATAGACTGTCAAACATGTTTTTGAAAATAGTATGAACTTATGAACCTCTTTTGTAATGAGTTCCAATTCGCTTGAATCAATGTCGGGAAAAAATTACAAACCCATTATCTTTAATTCAATTAAATAATATATACGAAAGGGTAAATTACAATCGTTCTTTAGATAATAGTTTGATTACTATTTAATTAATCAAGTAAATTGGTCTAGAAAAATCGGTATACTGAAATGTGGATCAAGCTGTTACAATCTGTCGAAAAAAATTGACACCCTCACAAAATATTGAGATGTATATACCTATGATAGGTCCTTAATGTGGGTCCATTAATGAATGAAATATTACAGACGTACCTATAAACTATAAGTGATTTGTTAACACATATGTTGGAGGATACTTTTTCCGATGAAACGCTGGACGATTTTTCTGGTCCTACACCCTACAAAATCCTTATAGAAATCATAATCGTCTCAAAAAGTGATTATAAATGTAATCATAAGTACTCTAATATACTGCACCAGAAGGTCGTGTAGGACATAAAAATATAACGATGGGTCTAAAAAAAGATATCGAATGTATCTATATTGCTAATTCTCGTCATGCTTTCAACTTCTGTGGTGTTATATTTCTATGTTATTTGCAACCTTTTCACCATTTCGAAATTATCTAAAAGTACAAACTTTCCCTTCCAGGGCTATAAAAAAGAAATTTGCAAAAAAATTTCCTATTGACAAATTTCCATTCTCATTATTTCTTATCATTTGTCAATGTGGCAGCAATGTTTTCTCTCTTTTTGAGCCCCACACATTTTTGTTAGCTGTTTTATGGTTTAGTGGTCTGTTTTGTTTTTTGGTAATCGCTGTCATGAAAAAATATTGTTGCCATCAGACTGATGCTGTGGTTGGAAATGTTCTTTTACGCAACATCGTTGGTGTCTAGCTCATTTGTTTCGTTTGCGGGAGAAGAAGTATTGCTGGGGGACTATCAACCAACAACCTCTCTTTGGCTCGGCATATTTGCATAATTTTGAAATGTGTTGTCTAATGGAATGCTTTGCTTTGGGGGGTATTCGAATTTTAATGTTTGCAACTGCGCCCCCTCTATTCGAGCCAACTTAATTTTTTCAACCCACAACAAATTGTGGCAGCAAGGACCATTTTATGCCAATTATTTTGTACCAAAAACAGCACTTGGTTAGGGGAGGGATGGACTACGATATATAATGTAGAAAAAATTGGCATACAGACCAAAAATATGCAAGCATATAGGGGAGGAAACACAAGTGTTGACCACATTTCCTGCTCTGGAATAACATTTAAACGTTTTGCTGTGGCTGTGCAAGCTAATTGTAACATTATGATTATGGTTTTTCAAAATGGAACTGTGGGGGGGGGGGGGGTGTGCTTTGAAAGTAAAATCGTGGCATGTTAAATAGTCAGCTATGTTCGCCGTTGCCAATGGCTATAAAAAATATCATTGCAGAAAAATGAAATTACTTTATTCTCCCTGTATTTTCAGTTTATTAAATATAATATGATTGAGTAAATGGAAATGTTATGACAAAATTGAATGCAGATGTATGCCAGATGTCATTTAATTTAATCAAACATATTTTGAATGTGATTGAATGTCAGCTGCAGGAAAACATATGAAATCAATGTTATACAATGATTGATGGTCAACAAGGGCAAGGGATGTGATATTTACGAAATGTTATATCACTGGTATAGAGTGATAAAAAATATATAGAAAGCTAAAAAATCACATGTACAGTTGTTGCAGGTCACCTTTATGCCATCGTCGGACTTGCACATAGCAGGTCATGGACTTAAATCCTAGGATAATAACATCATCTGAGTTTAAGCGGTGGCTTAGCCAACTATTAGTGGTAACGTACTATGTCCGGCATACCATTCGATATAAACTGGTGAGTAGACTTATTTGAGGGCACATCAGACCCACAGTGGCTTAAGAAGTCGAAACACATTAAAGCAAATTATCATAGAATACCAGAAGGACTTTTTATTGATGACCAGCTCATTTTCACGTAGAAGAAAAATGCAGTTTCACTAGTAGGTCTTCTCATAGAAGCCCACAAGGAAGACTCATAGAAGGACTTCTTAAAGAAGACCAGAAGTGCTTATGTTAGATGACAAAAGTTTTTCTTGAAGACCTGAAGACATTGTATTCTCATAAAATATAGAAGGATTTCACATAGAATCCCAGTAGGACTTCCCTTAGAAGACAACACATTTTTTAATAGAAAACCTGAAGGACTTTTTATGGAACGCTATACTCATAGAAGGCTAGACGGTCTTCTCATAGGAGAAATTCAGAAAATCTTCTCATAGAAGGTCAGAAGTTCTACTCTTATGAGGTCAGAATGTCTTTTAAGACTAGAAAGTCTTCTTGTAGAGGACCTGAAGGTCTTCTTATAAAAGACATGATAGTCATCAAGGTATTCTCACATTGAAGCTCACAAGATGGACTTATGTTTGAAGACCTGAAGAACTTTTCATAGTAGGCCAGAATGTCTTCTCAAGAAATATCCGATCAGAAGGTCTACTCATGGAAGACTAGAGGATTATATAGTCTTCTCATTTAAGTTCACAAAGACTGCCAGAAGGACTGATAGTTTTCATATAGAAGGCCTGACATTCTTCTTAAGAACGCTATACGGTCTTCTCATAGAAGACCTGAAAGTCTTCTCAAAGAAGGAAATACATTCTTCTCACAGAAGGCTAGAAGGTCTTCTTATAGAAGGTCAGAAGTTCTTCTCATAGAAGGTCAGAAATTAATCTCTTAGGTAAGAATGTCTTCTTATAGAAGACCAGAACGTCATTATATAGAACACCAGGAAGTTTTCTTGTCGTAGACCTGAAGATCTTCTTATAAAAGACCTGGAAGACTTCTCATAGAAGACATGAATGTCTTCTTGTAGAATCCGGAGGCATTTCTCATAGATGCCTAGCAGGACTTCTCGTGGAATTCTCTTTGAACACCTGAAAGACTTCTTATAGAAGGCCTGAAGATTTTCCCATAGAAGGCCACAAAGTATTTTCATATAAGGTCATCTCAAAGAAAATGACAGCATGTCTTCTCATAGAAGGACAGAAGGTCTTCTCATTGAAGGTCACAACGTCTTCGTATACCAGAAGCTCCTCCTATAGATGACCTGAAGGACATCTTATTGAAGAATGTAAAAGAAAGCCTCCTGTAGTCCTATAAGATGTCCTCCGAGGATTTTTTATATAGGCCTAGGATGATTTCTTATTGAAGTCCGGAATGACCCCTTATAGAACGCCAGAAAGTCTTTTTTTCTCATGGTAGATCTAGGATATGCTGTTCTTCTATGCATTACCCGAATATACTATTTTTAATGATGTCAATATGTATTCTTATGAAAGAGCAGAAGAAATACCTGAATGTATTATAGAAAATAAAATGTTCTGATTAGAGGAGGTTGGAAAGAAAGTCATCTATTAAAGAGCCAGAATGAATTTCAATATAGAAGGTCATAAAAGACCAGAAGGCATTTTATTGAAGATCAAAAGGTATTCTTCACGGAAAATATCAAAATGACTAAGAAGACAGTTTTCTTATAGGATACCCGAATAAGGTATACTTTTAGAAAACTACATTTTTATAGAAAACCAGGGTCTTCGTATAAAAATCCAGGGTGTTTTCGTCAAGAAAAGAATAAGATTCTCCTATGGAAGATGGTCGTATTACAAGGGAGATCTGGAGAAGATCTTCTCGTAGAAGACTGTCTCATATAAGTCCAAAATTTCGATATAGAAGACAAAAATATACTTTTGTAGACCAAAACCAGATATTCTTCTTCTGTAAGACTAGAGGGACATCATCAACAGAAAAAACACAAAGTCCGCTCATAAAGACCAATAAGTCATTTCGAGAATGGCCAATATGTTCTGTCAATGAAATCCAAATATAAATTCCATATCTGGTTCCTGTAGATTTGAAATCGAAGTGAAAGAATAGAAAAATATATACCCTTAAAAGGCTAGAAAAAATAAAAATAATAGTCATAAGAGACCAACAAATGTTCTCGAAAAGATCAATGTCAAAGGAATCAAAATTAAAGTTTCACTACAGGTCCCAGAAGATTTTAATTTAAAAAAATCCATAACAAAATTTTTTCTACTCACCTCCGAAAATCTCTGCTCCAACACGCATAAATAACCGGATTCATGCCGGAATTAAACCAACCCAACCATGTTACAACCGCCGATACAGTCTCCTCATGTTCTATGCATTCCATGCAAAAACCCGATAATAAATTTACTACGAAAAATGGCAGCCAACAAACGATGAAGACACCCATTACGATTCCCAACGTTTTCGCCGCTTTTTTCTCCTTGGCGAATTTGGCCAATTTCCTTGACCATGAGAAATTCTTACCGCCCATATGGCGATGCCGAGCCAAACCATTATTGTGCAATGCCGATAGCGGTTCATCATCTGGCTCTTCCGGCGTAGATGTGGTGGTGCCCGCATTACTGTGATTATGATGTGACGTACGATGATGATGATGGACATGCGGATGATGTTGAGAGCCACCACTGGGACCGCCGCCCAATGAACCGTGCAGCGCCTGATGGTGAGAGCTGGTGGATGGTTCTCGTGTGGTACCGCCGCGATGTATGCGCAACGTCAACTGCAATTCACCGGAGGCCATTAACACCTGTTTCGTGCCGATCTTCAGTGAACGCGTCTGTATCACTGCCGCTCGATAAATGCGGCAATATGTAAATACCATCACGAGGAGCGGCAGGTAAAATGAGATAGTCGAGGAGAACACCAAATAGCCCAAGTGTTCCGTAAAGGTACACTTGTAGGCTGGCATCTCACCATCACGGGCTGCCCGCCACCACAGTATAGCCGGAAAACTGATGGCACTGGAGCACACCCATACCGCACAGATTAGCGATGCGGCCCGCTTCACAGTCATACGCATGGGATATGAAAACGGATCTGTTATGGCCCAGTAGCGGTCCAGTGATATGACACATAGATTGAGAATGGAAGCCGTGCTGAAGAGCACATCAAGTGATCTCCAGATATCACACCAATCGGTACCGAAGAACCACGTATTCTCCAGGACCTCGTACAGTGCCGAAAAAGGCATCACAACCAAACCGACCAAGCAGTCAGCCACCGCCAGACTGGTGATAAAATAATTAGTGGCCGTGTGCAGGTAACGCTCTCTTATGACGGCCAGTATGACCAGCGAGTTGCCAAAGACAGTGGCGAAGGAGAAGAGGAAGAGAAACGATAGCAGGCTGACACGATCATTGGATAGAGATGTGAGAAACTCCGACAAATCCGGTTCTTGAGGTATGCTGGTGCTGTTGAAGGGATCCGCAGGTGTTGTGGCGAATGATTCCGCCGTGATGGTTGGTGCGGTGCTTGATATGGTTGATGAGATGGCGTCGCCGTGTTCCACAAAACCATTGAAATAGTAGAACAGGTCATCGGATATATTGTAGCTGGAGTAGAAGGGGGGTGATGGGGTAATTGGCGCAGAAGAACTGATTGCGGCGCTGTTGTTGTGATTGTCATTTCGTGTAAAGGCGGGTGTGTGGGGTAATGCTGCTGCTCCAGATGAGGGGTAATATTGTGCGGACATGTGCTGCTGTGGATCTTGGTGTGCTGTGCCTGCGTCCGATTTGTGCTCGGAAGTGTGTGCCTGTTCCATTGTGTTAAAGGCTCTCGGTATGGACGCGGCCAATGGTTGTAACAGGGCGGCATATTCCCAATAGGGTACGGAACTGTTGACGGCACTGGCGATGCTGTTGTAGTGTGTTGTTGTAACGTTTCCAATGTTGCCGATTGCATTATTCATTATCATTTGTCATTTATGTAAAAGACGAAATTTTGTTTTCGTGGTTCTCACTCTTGATCTCGGGTTTCGCTATGGGTCTGTCGACTTGTTCGGTCGTTGTTGCCTGTGATTGGTTGTGGAATTTTCCTCAGTAAATTTTTAATGTAGGCTATTATTTGTATAGCCAATTGCATTTAAATTTGGAAGTCTGGCTGGATGCATTGTTGTTGGTTTCATGTTTATAGGTATAATCTGAAATGAGACAAAAAAATTAAAAATCAAAAATAAGCGATTTTTTGTTTATAAGTTTTTTTCCTTTTTTATTTCTGAAGGATTAAATATTTCCCCCATCCTATTTCAAACGAACCTTAAATCAATAAATATTTTTTATTTTAAACATTCTCAAATCTCATCTTTCCATAGTTACTTTGATGCATTCATTTCCGTTTCTTGTCTTCATTCTACCATAACTTTTTGATTCCCTTTACTGCATTATTATCCATACTTAGTCTTCTGTTAAAAATAAGACAAAATTTTTGCTGACGCATTTATTTGTTAGAAACTTGTTTGAGTGTGTGTCCTTTTCCTATTTTCTCACTATGTCATTGGAAAGGGAAAACTAACTGCCGGAAACATAATCCAATTTGAAAAGAAAACTTATTTTTAATATTCACCATGAAAAGTTGCAGCAGCAGCATTGATTCGATTGCCACCACCACCAACATCGACAAGTTATCGACAAATTAATGTCGGAAATTGAAAAATGTCTCCTTGAAAGACACAAATCGAATGGAAATTGAATTTTCGATAGAAATACTTTTTAAATAGAATTTTTTTGTATTTTTAGTGCTGAAGGTGGAATGTGGGATGAGCAGGAAATGATAAAGGAGGAAGGTGGAAAAATCATAGAGATCATCGTATTTAATATAAGGTATTCGAGAAGAACACCATATAACCCAAATATAAATATACAATTGTAGGCTGGCATCTCCCCATCGCGGGTTGCCCGTCATCACAATATAGCCGGAATGCTGATGACACTGGAGCACATCCATACCACACAAATTAGCCGAGTCACAATCATGCGCATGGGATATGAAAACGGATCGGTAATGACCCCGTAGCGGTCCAGAGATATGTCACATAAATAGCATCTATCTGTAGAGCGACAATGATAGGTCCTACATATTGTATTTATAACCTTCATCACACTGTGGTACAGGGTATTATGTCTTTGTGCATATCTTTGTAACAGGCAAAAGGAAACGAGATAGACACATGGTTCCTTTTGAGAATATGCATAGAATCACTTTCTAAGTCAATTTATGCATGTCCGTCCGTCCGACCGTCCGTTCGTCTGTCTGTCGATGTTAAATTGTAAACAAAGTACAGGTCGCATTTATAATCCGAATTGGATGAAATTTGGCATGGGTCACTTATTTGGCCCAAGGACGAACCCTATTGGAATTGGGAAAAATCGGTTCAGATTTAGATATAGCTCCCATATATATTTTCGTCGGATTTAATATAAACGGTCCCTATATATCTTTCGATTTGCACGAAATTTGGTACAGCGTAATGAATTAGGTCTAGAATGATATGTGCAAAGTTTCGTAAAAATCAGTTCAGGTTTGGATGTAGCTCCCAAATATATTTTCGTCCGATTTAAGGTAAATGGATACCAAAGACCCTATATATCTTTCGATTTGCACGAAATTTGGCATAGCGTACTGAATTAAGTCTAGAACGATGTGTGTTAAATTTTGTGAAAATCGGTTCAGAGTTACATATAGCTCCCATATATATTTTCGTCCGATTTTAGGTAAATAATGCACCAAAGTCCCTTTATATGCTTCGAGTTGCACAAAATTTGGCGTAGCGTACTAAATTGAGTCTAGAATGATGAGTGGTGTGTTTCGGGAAAATCGGCCGAGATTTCGATATAGCTCCCATATATATGTTCGTCCGATTTTATGTAAATGATGTACCAACTTCCCTTTATTCTTCGATTTGCACGAAATTTGGCACAGCGTAATGATTTAAGTCTAGCAAGATGTGTGTTCATTTTCGTGAAAATCGGTTCAGATTTAGATATAGCTCCCATATATATTTTCGTCTGATTTTGGGTAAATAGTGCACCAAAGTCCCTTTGCATCCTTCGATTTGCATGAAATTTCGCATAGCTCGCTGAATTAAGTCTAGAACGATGTGTGTTAAATTTGGGGAAAATCGGTTTAGATTTCGACATATCTTCCATATATATTTTCCTCCGATTTTATGTAAATGGTGCACCAAGGTCCCTATATATATCCTTCGATTTGCAAAAAAATTGGCATAGCGTATTGAATTAAGTCTAGAAAGATGTGTGTTAATTTTCGTGAAAATCGGTTCAGATTTACATATAGAATATATTTTTAACAACGCGGCGTACCGAATAACGTGTATTAATTTTGCTACAAATCGTTTTCCATAAATTTTCAGGTGGCGCTAAATCTGCTCGAATGTTAGGATAGGTTTTAGAAAAAGGGAACATAGACATGCAGTTGTTAGGATACATATGTACAATATATCCAAAGTGGTGAAGGGTATCATATAGTCGGACCAGTCCGACTTTACTACTTTCCTTACTGGTCTATATTTGAATGAAATTGTCAATATAAGATATTTTAAAATTCATATGTGCGGAATTTTATCTTTCCATAGGTGATCCATACAAGACCGATATTGATGATCTTTTATTTTATATTGATGATCTTTTATTTGTATAGTACCAAAAGAACTTCTTCTATTTATTAAAAAAAAATAGGTCTTCATCTGTACAATTCCCGTTGAAAACCGATTTTTTAATAAAAGAATTAATGCTAATCAATCAAAAAAACTTTTATATTTATTCCATAAAAATTTAACACTTTGTATTTTAAATATTTAAAATTCACTTTAAATACCTTATTTTACTCACACGCCTTCCCTATCATATTCAGACAGACTATGCACTGATGTGCGATAATACAAACTTTAAGCTTCTTAGGGAAACAAGCAAAAGAACAGAAGTTCAAACAAAACGAGAGAACGAGAACAGAACAGAACGCACACGAAAACAGCAACTTGGAAAAACAGATGATTGAAGGCTAATCCCTCATGGGTTAAGAGTAAAACAGTATTAAGTCGCTTTCCGAAAAACAACAACTTATTTTTTCCTCTTTTTTTCTCTCTCTTTGCCAGCATAAGTTCAATCTGAACTTTTGTTGCGAAACTCACACACACACATGATATAGCGACGCACTTTGCAGGTGGTGTTGGTAAAACATTTTAATTCAATAGGGAAATTGAAAAAAAGGTTTTCTGATAGCAGCAAACAGAGCAATGGAGGTCTATGGAGGGCATGATGGTTGAAAAGGTTGAGATCATAGGAAGCGTATGAGCGAATGAATGAATGGTCGTCATGTGGCAGATAAGGCAAATTATATTTCAATGTTTGCTGTATCAGGTAAAGAGGATAAGAGGCATAGAATGCAGGGAGGTGTTATGTCTAGGGGCGATGGGAGTTGCGGGAGTGTGTGCTGCAAACAATTTTTATATTTTATTTAAATAGTTGATTTGATCATACAATTTTAATAGGCATTTCAGTTATTCTATATCCTGCTTATGAAACAATCTTTAGAAGAACCGCGTAGCCTATAGAAAGATCATAAATCCATAGATATCCTGATGAAAGTGTTATATTCACAACAAAATGCAGGTCTTCTATCCAAGGAAAACTTATGGAAGAACTTTTATTTATAAAATAGATAGGAAGGATATTTTGTCATTAGTAGACCTATATGAATTCTCCTATATATAAAATACCTATAATATATCTTCTATATATAAAATACTTATCGAAAGTCTCCTATCAATAGATTGAAGACCTAATGTCTTTAGAAAGCCTATAGGACGTACATCATTATTCTAAAAATAAAAAAATCGCCAGTCCGATTTTTTCCTATAGAAAACACTTCGCCATACCATAGTAGACCTATATGAATTCTCCTATTTATAAAATACCAATAAGAGACCTTCTATATATAAAAGACTTATCGAAAGTCTCCTATCAATAGAGAGTTACTCATGTATTGAAGACATTATGTCTTTAGAAGGCCTCTGGTACTAAGATCATTGGTCCAAGATTTTTATATAGTAAAAAGAACCGTCAGACTCTTGGATCCAAGTTTTTCTATAGAAAAATAAAGCCTTATACTAATGGCCAATTTGATTCTATGGAAAAATTTACTTGACCCTTTGGTCTAAATTTTTTATACAGAAACAAATGTGCCCCATTCGACCATTTGGCGCAAGTTTTTTCTATTTTTTCAGAATTTAAAAGGCAAATATGAAACAGTTAAATTCAAAGTTTTTCTATAGAAAAAATTCTACACACCTTTGGATGCAAGCTTTTTCCATAGATACTCAAATCCTCTGAAACTTGAGTCCAAATTTATTTACAGAAAAAAATCGCCAGAACCTTGGGTTAAAGTTTTTCTATAAAAACTTAGTCAGAGAATGGGGCGAATTTTTTTTCTAAAAAAGTACTCAGGCTATTGGGTCTAAATTTTGTAATAGAAAAAGTTCGTCAGTTCCAAATTTTTCTATAGAAAATAATCGTCAGAAACTTGGGTTCAAGCGTTGGCTATAGAAAAAATTTGTCAGACCCTTGGGTGCAACATTTTTCCTATAGACAAAAATTCGCCAGCAACTAGGGACCAAGTTTTTTTCTGTAGAAAAAATTTATCAGACCGTCAGGGCCAAGGTTTTTTTTAGAAAAAAAAAACATCAGGTCCTTGTGTTCAAGTTTTTTCTGTAGACCCTTGGCTGCAAATTTTCAAAAAAAACAAAAAAAAAAAAAAAAAAAAAATGCGCCAGACCTTTAAGTTTACAAATATTTAACAGAAACAATCCTTCACTCTAAGACCTTTGGATCCACATTTACAGAATTTTGGATCCAAGTTTTTTCTGCAGAAAAAAATCTTCCAACATTTTCCTAT